ACGAAGATTAATTTCATTTAAAGCGATCCATGTTTACAAATAGGAATCACATCGCCTCACTAGCACCTAGCAGTATATTGGAATGATCAATATGATGGCGCTATGTGGGGTTTTATGATTTAGGAGAGAACAAAAGACCTGAGGTCACTTATTCATCTTATCTTTTCACTTTTATCGATACATTTTGACACAGACAAAATGTTCGGCCCGCCTCACAAACGCTTATTGGGAAATCATCATTAAGAACTCCTACGATTGCAGCAAGATGAAACTTACTGAGAGTAGTTCATTACATCTCTTGCATTCCCTATAGAGGAATCTCGCAGTAGTACAGAAGCTTGCCGCTGATTAAAGTCTGCTCATCTCACATAAAATCCAAATGTGCAGCGTGGGCACGCAAAGGAACAATGGAGACTTTCTCTTGCGGTCCAATCGGCTATGGAGTCTCTAACGATTACACTATTACCAGTCAGCGAAATAAGTGTGATAATAAAGTAACTTGTTACTATGGATTGTGATACACTTCTTAATTAAATGTGAGAGTATAGTGAGCGAACTAAAGGCTGGTCTTGATGAAAGATGAACTGCATAAAGAGAAAAAGTTCTTGTAAATATTTGTTCAAGGATTAGACACTGAAGTGAGAGGACTTTAGTCCCGGTGGTATCACAATGCTTCCTAAACGCCTTTGTGCTTTGTTAAAAAGTCATTCTAGCTACTTACCTATCTGCCGGCAGCTAAGCAATACCTGAAAACATAATTTACTTTTCTTTAATAATCCACCATCCACCTCAAATATCCCACAGACAGCTTAGCTCATTGTGCCTTCAGCTATGTGAAGTGGTGTTCTTAGTCTCTAGTAAGCCTGCCTTTAAAATGATACGGCATTATTATCAGGCATTACTTCCACCTCACTCACTTACTTGATTAATCATAAAAAACATTAAATAAAAAATTAAATTTAATATAATAGCAATTAAATTGTTTTAATAACCAAATTAATAATAATTCTCTTCATTCACAGCAAACTCTTCTACAATACGTAACAAAAGCTGCGAAAACGAGTTTGTGTCTTAAGTCTTTTATTCAATGAATCAGTAGTAATTTAAAGTAAATTTATAGTAATTGCCACTTCTTATTGTTATATATTGTTAGCAGAGGAAACAATCACGCTTAGAAATACTAATTTAGCACTAAAAACAACTCATACATTTTTTTGATGTTTTTTGGAAAAAAAAAAAATTAAATGTTACAACGTCTTACATAAGTCTCTTCCTTATTGGCGTCTTACATAAGTAGGTGCAAAAATATGTACGCGTGTGTTTTCAGTAAAAATCTACTAAATCCGCGTATGTGATTAATTGTTGACATCTCTATATATGAAGGCACAATATATTTCATTATCTTCGTACAGTCAACTTTACTATTAACAATTCAGCGCCCACGTGTCACTGACCAAATTTTGCATATATATAATTATATAAACAAATGTATCTGTATTAAGGAATGCCTTGTGAGCTAACCATTAATCATTTGACCCGCTATAAAGTGCCAAACGGTTGCTTAAACAAACAAATGCTACATATGTAATATTTAATTCTAATTGACGACAACAACTTCGGCAAGCGCTGAGGGCATTGTGCCGCAAGCATTTAAACAACTTTCATATTGAAGGCATTCAACTGCTTAATTGAAAACGTTAAGGGCAAAGGGTTTAAATAATAAAACAATGTCTTAATCTAGCTGTGCAATTTGTCTGTCTACTTTTAGTTTTGTGAAATTGATGTTGAATTATTAATAAGAGGTTTTATAATAAAATATTAATTTTTTTGTTGAGAATTGTAGAGTCAAAAGTGATTCACCAATATATAAATTCTTCACTGTTATTTGCAATGATTACACTAAGCCTTTAAGCTTTTGCTACTAATTAGCAATTAAAATCGTTCAACTGATAATTGTTTTAGTTATTTCGTTTTACTAATTTAATCTAAGTTTTAATTAATATAATTACAAATTTGTGGAATAATCAGAAACTAAGTCTATTGGAGACTTATTAATTTAAATTATGGAAATTTTATATAATGCGTTGGTAACCGGTAATATATATCGTTACGAGTATTATCTTTTATTACTTTTTTATGGAAAATTATGTTTTATTATACATTTATTGGAATCGAGGACAATAAATCGAAAAGGGTGCATGCGGAAACGATTATATAAAGTATTTTCTAAGGTTTTTGATATAAATTTTCTGTTAAAGATCTTGAGAATGTGTTGCATGCGGAAGCAATTTAAAGCCAAATTGATATAAATTTGCCAAAGTGTTCATTGATTTCTAATACAATTGGACGACTTTGTATGATTTTTTGCTTGAAATGCCAAATAAAAGTTGCTATTATTATAGTTTTTGGCCGGATAAAAATACGGGTCCGTTCCGGTTGAGTGGATCCAACTGTCGTGGGAACGCAGGCATATAAAAGTCTCTGTTGACGGTTTTGCATTCATGGACGATATGTCCAACACCTTTCCTTCCTTTACTAATTTCAGAGTGTCAACTATCTCGATCAACGCAATTTTGTGGTCATCGAATATATATAGATATATGGTTTTATATATTTTCATACTTAGCAGCCTCTTTCGGATATCCTTTAGGTTCACAATTGGGCTGGCACTGAGCACCACACTTTATTATTCGCAGCAGTTTATTTTTCAACAAAAAAATTATTTCACGAAATTGTATATCAAAAACACTCAATTTATTTTAAACAATACAGAAAATAGTTTCCATAGAGTCTTCATATTTCAATATCCAACTGTTCAAACTTTACCAGAAGTAACACGACCTTAATTTTGGTGCTAAATTCGCTAGATTGTTATTAAAGTTTCGACGACTCGTTCCTAAAATAACGATAACGTTCGGACATGAAGTTTAAATGGATTAGTCCGGGTCAAATTTGATCGGATGGCATATATCAGTCGCTCAAAGAAGCTCTGAAATAATTTCAAATTTATATGATAACTAATTTGATGAGAATATATACAAATGTGGCTTATGGACTAGTCCGGGTCAAATTTGATCAGATGGCATACTTCGGTCGCTCAAAATATTTCTGAAGTAATTTTGATTTTATTTGATAATAACTAAATTTGATGAAAATATATGCCAATATGGCTAAATGGACTTGTCCGGGTCAAATATGATCATATGGAATATATCAAAAAATCTCTGAAGTAGTTTTGATTTTGTATGATAATAACTAATTTGATGAGACAAATGTGGCTTATGGACTAGTCCGGGTCAAATTTGATCAAATGGCATACTTCGGTCGCTCAAAATATTTCTGAAGTAATTTTGATTTTATTTGATAATAACTAAATTTGATGAAAATATAATATATAATAAAATGGACTTGTCCGGGTCAAATATGATCATGTGGAATATATCCAAAAATCTCTGAAGTAGTTTTGATTTTATATGATAATAACTAATTTGATGAGAATATATACAAATGTGGCTTATGGACTAGTCCGGGTCAAATTTGATCAGATGGCATACATCAGTCGCTCAAAATATTTCTGAAGTAATTTTGATTTTATTTGATAATAACTAAATTTGATGAAAATATATGCCAATATGGCTAAATGGACTTGTACGGGTCAAATATGATCATATGGAATATATCAAAAAATCTCTGAAGTAGTTTTGATTTTGTATGATAATACCTAAATTTGACAGAATGATGTGCCAATATGGCTTGAAATACATATTTGACTACATTTCTATATATGGAAAGAACTTACCCTATATTGTGATCCCTTGGCGCTTAATATATTATAATTTTGGAATATGTTTAATCCTAGTTTCTTTTTATACATCTACTATCAAGACGCAGATGGACGTTTTCAATTTGTTATCCATCAATTATGCCTACAATTACTTTTCTACGGATCTTGTGCATATCTTTAGTCCTTTCAGTTTTTTTTTTGTTTTCATCCGAATTTTCAGCCAAATATTACTAAGATCTGATTGCAACACAATAAGCTGATAGTTCCTTCTTATCACCATAAACCACCAGCACCTATAGAATTACATGACTATTTTAAGTTAAGTTAGTCCTCTTTACACAGGTATCATTCTTATATTTTACAAATATAAACTCTTTTACTTTCCTCTTTGGTTCTATAACACAGTTTAGAGTAATTAACAAAAAAAAAAAACATATCTACAGCGACTATGCTCTACGTTGGTTGCCTTACATGAAGAATCCCTTACTATTTTACTAATTCATTCTCTCCTTCCAACCAATTCGCAAATTAATTCATGCGTTAAATTAATTGTCAGCGAATATTTATGTTAATTATGAGCAATTTATTGGGTGACTCATTGTGCAATGCATTGTCACACAACCGAAAGCGAACCGAATTTGGTAAGCGTGTTAAATAACAACAAACAAGTTAGCACGCCGTCGCCATTCCTTTGTGTATTTCTTTCTTCAGATGTTTGCTGTTGTTGTGCCCGGTAACTTGGGGAGCGGTATTAATATTAATTCGGTTATGCGTTCGATGTGTGTTGATTAAGGCGATGATGATGAGGCAAACTGTTAGGCGCTGACACACTAACACGCATACATACACACCACCATACAGGTTCGCCAATGCGAGCTTGCTCTGGCATATGTGTGTTTGTGCGCCGATCTTTCGTGTTGATTCATTCGATAATTTACATATCTATTTGCATGCGTATCGCTTGTAGGTCGCTGGAACTGCTGCATGATTAGGCAATAGATTGCATGTTGCGATGTCGTTGCGGATGCGCGCTTGTAATAAATAATGTTTTAATTTTTTTCTCTGATTTTTTTGTATTTCTTTTTTAAACCCCGATTTGTGTAACGACTAGTGAAACTAATCAATAAAACGGATTTTGTAGCAAATGAGCTTACACATGTTTTTACACACATATATAGTACGTATTAGGTTTTTAATACAAAACTCTTTATTGCAGAATAGCCAGTGTGTTGCCGATTCGAGCAGAGTTAGAGAGCGCAGTAGTCCGTGCGTTACAGCCAAAATGCGGCCACCGAAAATGTTTGGTAAATCCAGTGAAACTACTATAGCCATATACATATGTATGTCTTAAGCAAATGTTTGTAAACTTTTGTCTGTATGTGTGTTGTAGGTCTGCCATTAGGGTTGCTACTATTGACGCTCGTAAGTGCCACTAGTGCGCAGGGCACATTCGAAGATGCGGAGACCTCTAATGATTACATGAGGTAACTTTGTGAATTGCCTAGGAAATAATATGTTATGATAATTATAATAATTTTATTTTTATTTTATATATATATATATATTTTTTTTTTTGAATTTTGTCAACTTCTTAGTGCCATCACACACCAGCAGTTTGATCTACGTCACACAATACCCGGCGAACCTGAAGTCGATTATCCCATTTACAGTGAGGTGCCAAAAACGAGCTTTGAATGTACTGGAAAACACGAGGGTGAGTCTAATAATAAAAATACCGCTTAGAGAAAAAATATTGTTCTTTCAATTTAATACTCAATATTAGAAGCAAACATTTTTGTCATCAATTTTTGCCGATTGATTCCACGTTATATATATTCCTTCAGTGAATTTTTTTTATCTCTTCAATCGACTGCAAACGGATTCCGCGGTGAAGCAATTTCAGTTTAAAAAATCATACGGAGCAAAATCTGGTTAATACGGTGGTTGATAGATGGTATTCAGTCCATTTTGTCTTTTATTTCGGTCACAATCGTGGCTCAATGCAATGCTGCAATATCACACTTCCACAATTCGGATTGTTTTCGGAGGTTGTTTTCATGAAATCGTCACAATACGACCAAATAACACTGATTATTGATCATTTGTCCCGCTGCAACAAATTCATGACACACCAACAACGGACGGTTTTTTTTTTGGTTTCGTTTTCCCTTCATTCCGATGGTTGTTGACTTGTTTGCATGTCAAGCCATCCAAAGAGACCTGTTACGGTGCTCTTTTGGAAAAACATTATGTGAACGAATTGAGCAAGAACGTGCTTCATCCTCAAAATAACCTCCAAATGTTTCGAAAGGACTCACGAGAGATACCGAGCTCTATTGCCATCTCTCTAACACTTGCCTAGCGATTTTCATTTTCTATACCTTTCACTTTTTTATAAGTTGAAGAGGTCGAAGATCGTTCAGAACGAGGTATGTCTTCAACGATTTCTCGACTATCTATGAAGGCTTTGTGCAACCTGTAGGCTTGTGTTTTGGATAGAACTGAATCAACGTAAGCCTTTTCCAACATTCGCATCGATCCCGCATACGAAACTTGGAAAAAGTATAAAAAATAATTTTTTCTGTTGGTGGAACACTGCTTTAGACGGCTTTGAAATGGCGCCCATAAGAAGGTCTTCGAATAAAAAAAATTACAAGTGAATAAATGAAGATAAATTTCAACGCGGTAGCTTCATTCAACTTTTTCAGATCTGATCGCCAGCTACCTTTTTCTGTGTCCAGACCTCGAGCGAAGGTCTGCTGCAAAGAAATTTGATAACAATGAGGGGTAATCTATAGTACAACTCTCAGCTATATTTTAAAGTCTCGGAGAATTAGTATATCGCCCTCGATGGGGCTATCAATCATGTTTCTTATACGACTGAAAGATTGATTTTATTAAGATAATCATGTAGCGATTATTGTGTGCCATACACAGTTATCGTATAGAGAGCTCTCCTTATATTAGAGTAAATGCCTGTTATTTTTCTACTTAGAAGTGTTGTAAGAGTTATAACTCTTTATACCTAATTTCAAGATACAACTAGTTGACTAGTCATAAAATTCTTTTCGATAACTTCTTGTAGCTATGTTCTTTGGATGTCAGTCTCCAAGAAGAAACTTAATATATATGAAGAGACACTGTTTAAATTTTTAAATTTCAAACTCTTCTTCAGGTTATTACGCTGACATGGAGACGCGATGTCAGGCCTTCCGCATATGTGCCCACACTGCACGCGGCACACAAGGCTTCGGCTTCCTCTGTCCCAATGGCACACTATTCAGTCAGAAGAATTTCGTTTGTGATTGGTATCGCAATGTGAACTGCGCCGAATCGGAACAATATTATTACAAAAACAGTGCGAATCGCATAGGCAGCAGTTCGGATATGATGGAAAGAGTACGCCAAATGATGGAATATCCAATGAAAACGATATCAGCCGCATTGCAAAATAAACAAACATCGCATCATACACTCAAAAAACAATTGGAGCTCTCTGAGAGCGGAGTGGCTGCCAATGAGAGCGCCGATGTTGTGGAGCCGCAATCCAGTCGCGACAGCAGTCAACGCGCTTATTTGAACCGCAAGTCGGCCGTAACGCGTGCCCAAGTGGAATCTGTATCGAAGACTAACGTCGCTACCCAGCAAACACAAGTCGAGGATACAGTCACACAGCAACGTAAAAGACTGCAGCAACAGAGACAACAACAGCGTACTGAAACGAAGACAGAAAGTAGTAACACACAGCAAACAACAACGAAACCCAACGATACCAACGATGAGGATGTATATGTGAATAGCTTGGGTGAATTGTCCTCCGATCCGGGTGTTAATTTCGAGCACGACAGCGCACGCATAATAGCCGAGTCGCCCAGCCGCACTTACAATTACGCAAAGAAGAGCAATTTTGCCGAAAAGGTGAATTTCGGCTTGAATAGCCTCGCTGAAACGACTACCCCTGAAGTATTTGCACCCGATTATGTCAAGCACTTGCAGACGGCCGATGAAGATGCAGTTTTGGCAGCAAGCATAAATAATTTGCTTGAAGTAGTCTCTGAAGATTTGGATACGAGTGTCTCTGGTTATCAAGTGCCAGCGCCGCAAAAGAATAAGACATCGTTCCGGTTCCTAAGTCGTGGCTTCTCATCGCAAAGTGATCGTTCCAAGCGCCCACCCTATGAGTATGCCAAGCCCAAGCAGACGGCAAGTACGATACGATTTTCGGTGAGTGAAATTTTGAATGGCTATAACATACTGCAAGCCTATATATATTTTTTCGAAAATTTAAGTCAAGAGTTTTAGACTGATCTGATCAAATTTGACTCGGACTGCGAAAAACGAATACTCTTAAAAATCCTAATTAATTGTGTAATTTTTAATACACTTGTTATAAGCCACGGCGGGGATGACCTTCAGTGGTCTCAGTGCCTTCAGCGGATTTTCGGTTTCAGTTCAGTTTTGGAACGCCATTCGCTAGATTGTTGTTTTCATTAAGCTACTAAACTCACCTAATTAATATATGCATATCAAACTTTTAACGAACTTAAAAAGCGTTTTACTACGATGGAAATTGTTTTTATCGATATTCAGTTAAAATGGACCAGTCCGTATCAAATTTGATCACTACGGAACTACTCAAGGGAGACTATTTTTCGAATTCAGCGAATTCTATGAAACCTTTTTTTTTTATCAATATTCAGTAAAAATTCCCCAATCCTGGTCAAATTTGATCACTACGCGACTACTTCATTGAAACTATTTTTCTAAATCAGCGAATTCTATGAAATTATTTTTGTCAATACTTAGCTAAAAAGGACCAATCTGGGTCAAATTTGATCACTACGCAACTACTCCAGCGAGACTATTTTTCGAATTCTATGAAATTTTCTTATCGACACTTATTTAAAATATTTATTTTTCAAATTGAGCTAATTGTATGCACTTTTTTTATCGATGTTCAGTAAAAATGGACCAGTCCGGGTCAAATTTGATCAACATGGAACTACTCAAGCGAGACTATTTTTCGAATTCAGCGAGTTCTATGAATTTTTTTTTTATCGCTACTCAATTGAAATGGACCAGTCCGGGTTAAATTTGATCACTACGCAATTACATAAACGAGACTCAGTATTAATTTTATTTTATTTGAATATTCTTTTGTGATTCGCTAACAATAAACCAGGCCATACAAACACTATTATCATGTCTGTGTATAATTCTAATTATTACAAAAACTCACTATATTTCACCTCTATATCTATGTATACACATTTATCCAGATTCTTTTTTCTATACACTATGTCATATATTTCCATCTTTCTCTCTTTTTCTAACATCTACACTATCAATTAACATATACGCACTTTGCTTTGCACCATCATCATCACTCTACACATGCCACAATTACACTATGTCTACACAAAACACACTTAACGGAACTATGAATTGTGGGGTTTGAAGCCCAACGAGCTGCCCATTGACGACACTTACAAAGATACCAAGGAATCTATAAAACAAAACTCAAACACGCACGACGATAACGGTGCTACTTTGGATAGCTCCGAGGAAATCATGAAATTTATCATCATGACGACCACGCCCACACCGATCCAGCCAGCCGAAATAGTTAAGGACACTGCTGCGGAGGTCGCTGCGAAAGAAGTAACTGATAGAATTGAAACTGGCGCGGGATTCAGAGGCGCGCAAGAGTATGAGACAACGGAAGGTGCCATAGCCATCAGCACGACTGAGGCGTTTACGAATGTCAATTCTGACCGCTATTATTTGAATAACGTAGGCACCATGCCACATAATTTGGATTACAACTTCCTCAGTCCACCGGTGCCAGAGTCCGAAGGTGACACTGAAACGTCAACTGCTGACGAACCGACGCTGTACGAGTTTAACGATTTCGACGGCGGCAGCAGTCCAGCACAGGAAATTGCTGATGTAAATACAACAGAAGCGCTCAGCGAAGAGACAACTACAGTGAGCTCAACATCCACGCTGGCGCAAGATAATAACAGCTCAGCAGATGTGTATGCAAATATTGTGGAGAAATTGCTTTTCCCAGCGCAGGAAGAAGCAACAGTAGCCAGTAGCCCAACAACAACGCCAGCTAAAGCGCAAATGGAGACCTCAACTTATGCGCCGATAGTGGATGAAGAGCAACTCGATGCAGAGCATCAAGCAACCAAACTATTGCTGGCTGGTGTCAAATTGACAAAACACAGCAACAACGAACTCGTTGAGAACGCACAGAAAGCAAGCGGCTCATATAGCGCTATCTTGGATCCAACTTATGGCGAGGATGGTGCGCTCTTCATTCATGTGGACGACGACGACATAGTAGCAGACAGCACGACCACAACTACTACAACGACAACAACGACCACTGTGCAACCGGAAACGAGCACAAGCGTAATAGCAAGTATGAGCGAAGGTGGTAGCTTCCAGGAGCGCATACGGAATTATCGGCGCCTCACTTCACAGCAACGCGCTAACGGCAAACCATCAACCAATGGGAGACGCAATCAGCTGCCAGTCAACAGCAAGCTAACAACTACAACTACAAAAGCACCCAGCAGCAGTAGCACCACAACAACACGCAGTTATTTGAAGCGCGTGGCTGCAAGCCGTTTGCGTTTGTCGCGCCTGTCAGCGGCCAATAATCGCCTAACCACTGCAACACCAAGCACCACTGCCGAAGCGCCCACTGTTCAATATACTAATACCAACAACGATAGTGTTGAGTCATCACAAACGAGCAGGAAAATCGCTGTACGCAATATAGACAAGGAATTGGGCAGCATTGGCGGCGGTAAGCGTTATGACGCGCGCGGAAATTCCTTTGACAAAGATAGTGCTAAAAAGCGCGGCACCACCAGCAATCCAACCGTGGTAGATGAGAGCAGCACAAGCAGCACATCGCTAAGCTGGGAGACCGTACGCAATAATTTGCGACGCTTTCAAGTGAGCACCAAGCCAGCCACCGTTTCAACCACCGTTTCTCCCACAACTGTTAGTCCGCGCCGCGCGGCACCGAAGGCGACGCGCAACAACGCGGTGCGCCGGCGTAACCGTTTCTCCAATTTCAAAGCGCAARCTAGCGCTATGACAACGACGACTGCTGCCACATCAATAACAACAACTACGWCCACCACGACTKCCGCACCAAAAACAGCGCAAACAACGCCTATTGCGCCTACCGCTTACTCACTCAGTCCTACACCCAATCTCGATCACATACTAAAATCCATCACATCTTCTGTTTCCTATTCAACTTCCACTTCAACTAAAGATCATGCACCCTTGCGCTTAGCTGAACCACAACCAAGCACTTTTGGCGTGGCGGCGAATATGGATGCACCGGAAACTTACCAAATATATGACTTGACTTCCCCTTCTGCCTCTACTTTTGCTTCAACACCTCCATCTGCTTACGAATTTCCCACCATTTCAAATACGCCTTCTTCTCCCATATCTATCGACACACATGCCGATGACTCGGCAACATTTCTCGATTTCGATAAGTTAACACGCGCCATTGTTGATGATTCCGTCTTACAGAATTTCCGCACTCAACAGCAGTCCAGCCGACCGCCCACTGTCTATCAGACAGCACCAGTCACCGTCGCGCGCTCGCTGTCAACGAACAGTTATGCTCGTGCTGTGGGCAACTCTGTGCCACAGAGCTATAATAAGCTGACGCCGCAAGGTGAGTTCGCTTAGCGTGTGTCTGCGCGCTCTTAAGCAACAGTTTTTTGTATATCGCCAATGCACACATTTATACACACACATATTACATTCAATAGCGCTAACTGATATGTGACAAGATTGAAACAAACGCCTTCCAACTCACTTCCTCTTTGCAGCTCCTGCTCAGTTAACGCCTCCACAGCGCCCACAACAATTGCCACAGATTGCCCAACAGCACACACCCCCTACCTCTCCTGCACCGCGTATCATTATTGCGCGCGCAGAAGGTCAACGCATAGCACCGAACTCAGTGTCATCGATTATAACGGCGCTGGCGACGCAGCCGCCACCCAAGACCACGCCGCTTGCGCCGTATGTGCCGCTGGACGACTTCCTTACGAAGAAGTTCGGTCAAACCGCGCCGGGCGACACGAACACTAGTGCTGCCACGAAGCAGGCGATAAGCTTTAATAATCTGCAACAACAACAATACAAGGCAGCACAAAATTCGCAACAGAATTATTATCAAAAAGCGTCGGGCACAACAGCAACACAGCAAATTCAGCCGCTCTACAATCGCGCTGCCGCGCAGGATATACAAATACAAAAGCTAAAGCAACAAGAAGTGGCGCAGGCCGCACAACAACAACAGCAGCAATTCAATCAGCGCTTCCAGCAACAACAACAACAACAATTATTACAACAACARCAGCAACTGGAACAACTGCAATTTCAGCAACAGCAATTTCAGCAACAGCAGCAGAAAATACAACAACAACAACAGTTGCAGCAGCAACAACTAAAACAGCAGCAACAATTTGCGCAACAACAACTTAATGAGCAGCAATATTTTCAGAAATTCGCTAAGTCAGCAATTGCACAACAGCAACAACAGCCGCAACAAGCTGTGTGGCAACAAAAGCAGCAACAACAGATATTTTCGCAGCAATCAGCGGCGCAGCTGAAGCAAAATCTGCAATACGCGCAACAAAAACAAACCTATCCAACGCAAAAGCAAACACAACAACAACAAGTAACAGCAACAAATCAATACACTTATCCACAACAACAGCAACAACAAACTATTCGCTCATCGTCAACACAACAACAGCAGCGTCCTCAACAAACCACACAGAATTTCTTCACTAACTTCCAGCAACAACAACCACAACAACAACAGTTCACACAATTTCCGCCCTTCACCAGTTCAGTTGGCGCCGCTCAGTCACAACAGCTGTCCGTTGACGAACTCAGCAATAGCATCGTGCCACCCGAACATGACAAACATTTTAATATACAATTGCCCGCGCTCACCGCCGGTCTTATACCGGCGCCTACAGCTACCACATTTACAGCGCAACGTCGCATGGACGTCGTAGACGCTGCTGAAAGTGAAGACTCGAGTATTTTTCACAAGCCGGGTAGCAGCAGCAGCAGCAGCGCCTATAACGGCGTGAGTTCGTACGATGTGCCGCTGAGCAGCATTGGTCGCCTGCCGAACGACATAACGCATCTGCTGAGGCGACTGCGCAATGTCAAATAAATTCACACATCTACTTCCACCGGCCGCCGCTGTTGCCATAACAGGAATTAGTAGCTAGAGAAAAAGTGATGCAGCCTATGCTCGGTATATGTGTGTAGTAGTAAGTTAGATTTACTCAGTTAAGTATCAATTTTTGCCTCACAACTACTCTATTTCTACGAGTTTCTTATAATTTTCGATAACTTAAGCTTTTTTACTTTCATCTAAATTATTAATTTTTATATTATTCACTATCATGGTTTTAGTTCAATTGAAAGTAGGTGCAAAAACCCATTACTGCCATTACATTTAAGCTACTCTGTTATTTTATAAGAGCGTTCGACTTTTTACGATCGATCGGATCGAATGATTATAGTTCTATTATTTATTTTTATTGAAATAAACGAATAAGTAAACTTGAAAAGAGAAATGCTTACAGATTATTTGAAGATTATAGCAGGAATGTGCAGTAAGTAGATATTATATTTTACACTATTACACATGACAAAAGACTTAAGCAACGAACTCGATTCTGGCCTTGTGGGGAATTGCTGATAGTTGGAGTGAAAAGACATATCAGTAAAATCTACTTTAAGAAATTTTTTAAGGGTGACCTTGAGCCATGAAATTTTCAGCATCTGATCCATTTTTATAGCATACTCATATATACCCCTCTATCCGTGTTATTATTGTTTTTTTCTATAAGCGGTCGGTCTCCTTTGATATCTCAACGTACTTCTACTAAAAAATGTTTCTCATGGAATACATAATCAATTATAAGTTCACTTAAGACTTAGAGAGCCTGTTAGAAGTTAGAACATCAACATGGTAAGAGAGAAGAAAAATAAAGAAAGAGAGAGATAGAAAGATTATTTAAGAGATATCTTGAAGAACTGAAAGAGAACTATATATAAAGATAGAGAGGAGGGTATAGAAAGAGAGAAAAAAGAATAGAGTGAGAGAGGGAAAGAGATAAAACAGAAAGAGAGAGCTTGATAAAAGGAAAGAGACAGAACGAAGTTATAGAAATTTAAATTAAAAGATATTGAGAAACAGAAAAGAGAGGGTTATAGGAATAAAGTAAGAAAGGGAAGAAAAAAATAGAAAAAGGTAAATAAATAAATGAAAAAAGACGTAAAAATATAAAAGAGCTAAAGGAGAAGAGGGAAAGCGAACAACCTCACCAAAAATTTAAACCAAATTGTTTGCATTTTTTTTGTTTTCAATTAAAAGAAACAATACGCATATAGTTTATTTATTTCACAATTATATTGTTTTTGTCATTTACTTATATCATTTCGTTTATCAATTTTATTTTCACCACCTGAAACATTAGCACACCTTCTTCTCCGCCGGGTCACTTGAGACTACATATTTAACTTACATATTTCGTTAGTATGCACTTCTATGCATGTGTTTGTGAGTGTGATAAGACTTATCGATGTGTATGCGTGACTGTTTTATTGGTATATGTGTGTGTGTGTGCATTAAATTTAATATTAATTAGTATTAATTAAAAATTACAGTTAATCACTTAGTCAAAAATGTTGCTGACATTGCAAACAGCACTTTTTATTATAATTGGTATGTTTGTTGTATTGTATTAGATTGTATTGGATTATATGTAGTAAATACAATGCGAAAATTACAAATTACAATACAATAATTACATTAAATTAATTAAATACATAAATACTAGAGTTTGCGGTATATTTGTGTTTGATGCACGCCCATTTTATTTCATAATTTTTTTTTTTTCAATTTTTAATATTTGTTTTTTTATTCATTACCACTTTCACTATGCATTCTATGTTAGTTGGCTTTCATGTATGTATGTATGTATGTATGTCGATGTGTGTACACAGGCTTACAATTAATAATAATTTTAAGAGATTTATTTATATATGTATGTGTGTGTATATATTTTAATTAATTTATTGTTGTATGCATTTATGCATGATGTTCCAGCAGTGTTGCCATACTACTTTATTTAAGACTTTCTCTGTTATATATATGTTTGTATGTATTTATATGATTTAATTATACAAGTATTTGCGTTATTTTTTTACTTTTTTAAACTGTTTTTGTTGTAGTCTAAGCATAATTTATAGCAAACTACAACTAAATTTGTTTAAAACTAAAACCAAAGCATTTTACTCGTCTTACTTATGAATAAATTAATTCCAATTTTGCATACATTTAATTAAAACCACACATGTGGCAACGCCATGTTGTCTAACTGTATTCTGATTTAGTTTTTTTTATATATAAATTTATATTTGTTTTTAACTTTGAGAATCATTTTATATTACATACGACTTTTTATTGTTGTCATTTGGTAGCGTCCTTTGTGTACAAAAAAACAAAAACAATAATAATTAAGTAAATTACGCTTCTCGGCATAGTTTATTGAAATGATACAGAATTTTTTCTATTTACTTTGCGCCTATACATACATACATATGTACATATGTATTGTATGCCGTTTATGTTTATTTTTATATTTGCCTCTAAAGAGTTTCGATTTTTCTCTGCTGTCACGGATGAGTCTATAAATTTCAATAATAGTTGAAATTTTTTTTACATTTCAAAGAGAATCTGTAGTATAATTTTATCTTTTATGCATTTTAATTACAATTAAATTAATAAAGTATAAATATAGTACTGTCTAAGAGCATACATGTCTCATGTGATTGTGCATTTCCTCTTTTCATACAAAAATTTATTGATTTATATTTATTTATCTGATTACTTTGACTATTTTTTGGGAAAATATAAAAAAAATATGTATAGAAAACTATTGTTTGCTGAGTCTCCAAATATAATTTATACAATTTTATATTACAATTATAAATATTTATATTTTGCATCTGCACAGCTTACTAAGCACATGCTTTTAAATAATAAATACGCAATTCTCGATTCAACAACGCACGATTCAAGTTTTTTACATAGTTAGCCAGCTCTAACGTTGCGAATTTCAAATCTAACTGTATTTAAAAATCACTAGAGAGACTTCGAACCAAATATAATATCATTTATGCAATAATTATTATTTTATTATTTGTGAGATTTTGCTTAATTGTTATAATCTATAACAGAAACAAATAAAAA